TTAACCTTTGCACACATACAGACTAGGGCAATATATCTACTCAAGTCCCATTCTTCATTTATTTCCAACAGCCTCCCCTTTCCCTGGGTGTGACCAGGCTTATGGCATGCGGGAACAGAATGAGGCTGAACATCAGCCTCAAGGTAGCTAAACACTTGCTTGTTTCCACAGTTTGTAATTAAACAGTCTGACCTATCGGATAAAATGCTAACATCATACCGATAGGGCCACGAACCTGAATCTTGTTAATGTTAACCTGTATCTTCATCACCTTGAAAAGGTCTTTCCTCCCAACTTTCCTTCCCAACTTGCAGAAGCTGCAAGAGACTAACATGCACATGGAAAAAAAAAATCCATCAAGTTAAAAGAGAGGAACAATTCAGTCCTACAAAGTGAGGAGAAAGCATTAGACTGAGCAGTGAAGCAAGGGGAGAGAAGGCTTACCAGCATAAATGCATAAATGTTAAGACACTGTGGAAGCTCCAAAGTGCTCAAAAAACACAGTAATCAACACTGACATGCCAAAGAAAGCACACACTAGAAAGTTCTGTAAGAGGAAAAGGCAGAGTGAGCCCCACTGGAACAGCTAAAATAGAGCTGCATGTGAGAAATGACAGGTAGGAAGAAGGCACAAACTGAGAAGAAACCCTACTGTTAACTTCAGGTATCGCGAATTTATCCCAAAATTTCCAGTTTAAGTCACAAAAGTGCTGCACCCACACAGCCTTCCACAGACGCGAACAGGTCGTGTAACCGCATTTTGCTTCTGACAGCAGAAATAACTGCCCAGAGGTTAAAGAAAAGAAACAGATAAGGAAGCAGGAGGACACCTATAAAACAGCTTCCTACCAAAAAAACCTTTTTTTGATGGTTATTAGCAAGGAAAATCCCTGGTGGATAAATATAGCTTTTGTAGTCAGCTAAAAATTAGAGCTATTAGAATATCTCTTGACAGCTCCAATAACAGCTCTCAGTTGCTTAGACTCATTGAAAGTTTATAATCAACTTGCTGCAAAAGCTTTTATTTAGAACATGTGTCACTGAAGAAAAACACTGAAGCAAAACCTGATTTTATTTTTCAAATGTCTTAACAACTGATCCCCTTGGAATTATGTCAGGCATGTCACATTAGGATGGCTTGGGCTCACCTTGACCAGCAAGTATGTTAAAATGCAACTAAACCTGTCTACATTTGCACTCCCAGCACATGCTTCTAAAATTTCAAATGGTTACAGAGGAAAGGCATCTGTGGATCTAACACTGATCAAGACCACATTATCAATGTGTTTTACTTCAACATGAAGTGTTACAGGCAAAAGCAGTCTTAGAGAATAATGTAAAACTTATTTTCTGCACACCTGAATTTAAAAGAGAAGGGAGAACTTTCCTGTGCAAAAATCTATTTGCTGTGGTAGGTTCTGTTGTTATAAAAGGTACAATTATACAGTACCTGTTTTTGGTGTGAAGGGTTATATATGTAAATGGTTGAATTAATAAACCAGAGTTCAGAATGAGCTTTTCCTGTTCCTGTTAATTTATGGCCCGGTGTTACATTCCTTTCATGTAATGCCACAGTTTTCAGTGAATAACTTCACATTATCCTCCTCAGAGTGCAGATACAAAGAACATCAACCATCAGTTTCATAAGACTCTCCCTCTTAACCCTCAAGGGTTTAGGTGCCCGATAAAGTTTTAGATATTATTAAAACTTTAAACATCCGTGCTTGGCTGCTACTACTCTCTGAGCACACAACTTTCTGCCAGCGGGTACTTGTGCCAACACTGAAGCCTTCATAACACTGCTTGAACCAGCACCGCACGTCCAAACCACCACACGGTTCTCAAATTCCCTGCTTGCCCTCTCGCTCCTCAACTGCTGAAACGCAAGAACACGTCTCTGGAAGTGCAACTTCCAGATCTGTCCTTTATCCCAATGAAATAAGGAGTTTGTGAATCAACTAGCTGCACCAGTTTTGTACAACACAAACACTAGGTCAAGAAGCATTCAGGTTTAAATCCATCTCTAGACCTGTCTCAGCCACAACCCAGAACCCAGGTTTCATTATTCCAGTTGAATTCTTGTGACTGCGTGGTAATGCCATCCATGTTTCATCCAGTGCTTTCAACAGAAGAAGCTCAGCTCCGGAGCTTCTGCCACCCAGGAGGGCACCATATTCAAATCACTCTCCCAAATCAGCAATATGATCTAAAGAAGAACCTTTGGAAAAGGGGACCCTGCTCAGGCATTTCATTCCAGGACAATGTTTGTAACTGCAAATAATACAGATGGATTGACACCTTTACCTAGCTAGACCCAAGACATAAGCCTCTGTAAAAGTTAAGCTGCAGAGCAGATCTCTCTCTACATGTCCTACTGGTCCCTGAGACACTCTGATTGTTTTCCTCTGAGGGGTAGCCAGAGGACACCTTGCATGGCCTTTCCCTGCAGGTCATACAGGCAAAGCAGGGGCCAACTCTGGGCTACGGGCATCAGGGTAGCTGCAGGTCAAGCATCTGCACACTCTAGCCCTTAAGCTACCTTGGATGTTTTGCCTCCTCCTTCTGTCAACTGTACTGAAAGTACAGACATGCTGTTGGTCTGTTTATCTTCGCTCAGCTTTCTAAAGAATCAGTGAAATTAATCACATGTGGCACTTGTAACTATTGTACTAAAATAAACAAAATTCAACCACAGGATCACTTTTTAGTATTCAAAGCACTTGCATGCTTTCAGTCCTGCTGAAAATACTCGCTCAGAGGACACCCTCTCCCTCCCTGGGCTTTAACAGCTCCCAACCCTATGCAGCGTGTCAGGGCAGTTACTTGGCTGCACACGCAGCTTGAACATCACATCTGACTTCAGGGTTAGGGAAGGGGATTCCAGTACAAAAGCAGCATTGAGAAAACAGCTTAGAAAAGTACAGCAGCACTGCCAGGGCTCTAACTTTATAAGTAGATTTATAATTAAGAGTAAGAGCTATTAATTAGTTTTCAATGGTAACAGCAAAGAGCTAATGATCTATTAGGAATCACAGACACTGCATTTAACATTTAGTATTTCCCTCATTTCTCATGAGGCAAAAGACAGACTTATAAATTCAAGATATGACACAAGAGATCTCAACACACAAAAACTATTGCCAACAACATTAACTTCAGCAGGAAACCTATCCTATAGAAAGTGAACACAGCAGAAATTAATCTTTACCCAGATATTTTGACGGGGAGTTCACATGTAATACTTCCATTCTTGGTATGAGTTTTAGTTACAACAAAGCTATGGACAACAGCCATAAAGCAGGTAGTACATGTTTTAACATGGGTGCATCAGGTTTGACTTCAAGAGCCAAATTTTTTTTTGAGGGAGGGTTGTATCTTCTGCAATCAAGCTTTTTAAACTCTGCCTTCTCCATCCAAACAGCTGGAGTATAGAAGAGCTTAAAACAAAAAAAAAGTGAAGTGCCCCATTGTGTTTTGACTCAAAGCAGATACAGCAGTAACCCTCAAGGTTACCTTGCCCTATGTGCGGCCTCAGGAAGGAAAAAAACACAGTTTCAGCAAAGGAATTTCTTGCCTGGCTGGAGGCCGCACCCGCCACATCAACTGATGGCAGAAAAGCATTTGGATTCACAAGTCTACCCGTAGCACCCAGCCGGAGGCAAAGTAAAACTTTCTCATTTTCGGAGAAGAAAAGAAACTCTTGCTCAATAAGTAGCAATTATGCTGCAGAATTTATATGCTGAGCACGGCTGAATGTACGAACACCAGATCAGTCAACCATAGCTTTAGTGCTTTGAGTATGATTAACAGAATGAACTTTCAAAGGTCAATTAAATGTCAACACATTTTAAAGAGATATTCTTCTTAAGTTGGGTGATGTGTAACAGTACCTTCCAGAGCTGCTGTGCCACTTTCATCTTAAAATTTTACCCATCCAATACTTACACGTGCAGATATAAAGATGATAACTAATTAACTATTGATAGAAAATAATGGCTGTTTAACTCCTGGCTTTTCTATTGCTAAGCTATCTTTATTACTTGTGTCTAACCAAGTACACAGGGACGCTTACCCTAAAATTTCATTTCAGCTGTTGAGGGTGAGAGCAAAGAGAGAAGAAAAGGAGCAAGAACAGTTTGAAAGTCTAATAATTTACTATATGAAAAGGAGAAGAGGCTTTTGATATGCAATTGAGCTGCTTGGATATAAATCTGGAGGAGGAAGAGGGGGACAGCACTGTAACTGAATTAATTATGAACATGTTAATCATGACTTTAGGCAGCCCAGCAATTTATCTCTTCGCTTCTAAACATTTCTGGGAATTCAAACTTCAGCTAACTAGCTCAAGACATCTTAAAATTAATGCTGAAAAAACTGAACACTCAGTACAGATTCATTTAAATCACCTCTCCAACTGGATGATGAGATCATTAGTTTTAAAAAAAAGGTCTCCATCTCAGTACAAACTAAAAGGATTAAAATCCTGACCAAGGCCTCACAACAGTACTATAATCATTCTGACACGAACAATATTTATTCAAGACCAGAGCTAAAGAATCATTTGAGAGTTGAGAAAAACCAGCAGAGAGCCGCACTCTGTGCAGACGCCAGAGGAAAACGGGCTGCAGAGTTTTCCTTCTATAAGGGCAGCGGTCCCGGCACCTCTCCACAGGTAGGCTTGTAACTCCACGCGATTTTAGGATGAGTTTTTCAGGAGGTTCCCGCTCCGGCCCTGGCAGCCCCGCTGCGTTTCGGGCCAGGTGCCGCGGGCAGCGGCGGCTCTGCCCAGATAGGGACTAGGGCGGACAACCTTCAAAGTTCCTAAAAAGTTCCCAGCCCCAGGGGCTGCCTGACCCCCGCCGGGCACGGCCGCCCCATCCCGCCGCACCTGCGGCCCCGGCCGGCGCCCTTGGGCACAATCCGGGAGCTACGGGCGGAGCGGACACCCGGCCCGGCCCGGCCCGGCCCGCAGGCGGCCCGGACCCCCGCCCGCTCCTTACCTGGCCGGGTCCCGCCGGGCCGCGCCCAACTTTCCCACTCCGGGCGAAACTTGCGGCAGGCAGTGGGCCCGCTCCCGACGTCCGCCTCCAGCCCAGCCTAGCCTAGCCTAGCCCAGCCCAGACCGTCCCGTCCCGTCCCAGCCCAGCCCCCCGCCGGCCCAGCCACAGGGGCGGGGAAAGGGGGCGGGGGTAAGCGAGCCCGCCCCGTGCCGGGCATTGTACGCCCCCGGAGCGCCTTTCGCGGTAGAGGAGGCAACGCAGGCTCCTCCTCCCCTCGCCATGTTCTTTGTCTGTCTGGCTCTCCCCGGCCGTTCCTCCGGCGCCGCGGCCGCCCCGGCGGGGCCGGCGGAGCGCGGCGGGGCCGCCCCGGCCGCAGGTGACAGAGCGGCCACCCCCGCCCAGCACCGCCCCCCGCCGGCGGGATCTCGGCGCGCTCTGCCAATCGGCTCGGGGCAGAGAGGCAGCCTCGGCCAATCAGGTGCCGCGGAGCGCGGAGGGTGCCCCGGGTGAGCCAATGGGACGCGGAGCGGCGGGCGGGCCCGCCTCCCCCGCGCGGCGCGTGGAGCGGGGAAGCGGCGGGGCTCGCGCCGCGGGGCCTCTCGGGGCTCCTCGAGCTCCATGAGGGCAGCGCTTCCCGGCCCCGTGGGGTCCCACAGCGGCACGGCCGGCCCGGGCAGGCCTCGCCTGCCTCCGACGAGACTTGACTGGGGAGGCGGGAGGAGTCGAGGGCAAAAAGGGCTTGCGAAAAAGCAGAGTGACGTCCCTTCTGGGGATCCGGAGAGAGGAGTTGGTAGAGACCGGAGCAGCCGCACAGTCTGAGAAGCGCTGTCTGTCTCTAGTGGTTGTTTCTTACGCGGCCAAAAGCCTCGTCTGATTTGCCCTTATGTCAGTTTTATGTTGTAAGGAACACGAAGTCCCTTATATACCCAAGCAGTGAGCACTAGAAATAATAATAGCTCAGGGGCGAAAGCCACTACCGTGAGGTCTCACTGCCCTTCCCATGGCTACCATGGGGTCATCAAGGTTGGAAGAGTCTTCAAGATCATCAAGTCCAACCATCCACCCAGCACTACCGCTTGCAACCCCTAAATCACTAAACCACATCACCCAGTACCAGATCCAAATGCCCCTTGAACACTTCCAGGGATGGTGACTCTAACACTTCCCTGGGCAACCTATTCCAGCCTGACCACCGTAACACTGAAATTTTTTTTCTAATATCTAATCTGAATCTCCCCTGTCTCCACTTAAGGCCATTTCCTTGAGTCCTCTCACTATTGATGCTCATTTGACCCACAAGTATGTGCCACTCAATCCTACCTAGTAAGTCACAGTTACACACCTCAAACCCAATGTGTTTATGGTTTATTCCCAAAGTACATAATCTTGTTGCTTGGTGCTTGAACTTCGGTCATTATTCCAGTCCTCAAGTTCAGGCAAATCCTTTTTCAGGCTACCCTGACCTTTCTCCTGGCTGTCCCTCACAGCCCTGCCATCAGGAAATTTCACCAGTACACCTCATAATTTGGCATGTGGATGAACCTGTTAAAGTTTAGATAGTTATAATGCTTGATCTTTCTGGAACATCTTTCTGTGAAGCATTTCCTCTCTGGCATTTCCCTTTAGCCAACTTCTTACCCACTCTGCAGCACCTCACCAACTCCTGTAACAGCTTTCCATGAAATCATGTACCAAATGCTGACTGAGGTCTAGTCATGGCGGATCTCCTGCCTTCTCCTTATTCAAGAACCTCACTGCTCACAGAGGGTACTGGGTTTGCTTCACAAAATATACCTTTGGTAAAGTGCTGTTGTGTTTTATCCCACTTTCCACTTACTTGCACCTGTTTCATTACGTTCTCCTTACACATTTGCTCTCAATCCTTAGTGATTAATGGCGGTGGATAAGTAGTCTGCAGTTGTTGGTGCTGATTTTGAATGCTGGCAGTAAGAGCACGATAGTGGGTAGCCCATGTGGGCTTCCTCCTGCCTGGGGAAGAACATCTGACTCAAGAGGTGAAGATTGCCACAGTAGGAATCTCATGCCATAGATACAACAGTAATAGAAGCTAATTCCTTGTATGCCATACAATATGGCCGTGGAAGAGTCCTCAATATAACAATTAACAGAAATAGACTTGGCTAATTTGGATTTTTTTTCTCATATGTTGCATGGAAGTCCTTGTTTCTCAGCCTTTTGTCTTAAGAGCTGAATATCAGTGTGTAAGCATGTTGGTGCCAGCATCCTCTCCTGTGTATCTCAAAACAAAGCCTTAGGTTAGATTTTTTTGCTGAATTTCTGTTTCTCAATTAAGGTCTCACCTGCTGAGCTAACTTGGTACTTTTCTGGTGTCTGCAGGTTTTATCTGAGAAGTTCAGGCATTGTTATTGCTTGAAAGGCTTGCATTTCTGTCACAGCCAGGCATGAGTCCAGGGGCAGAGCCCAGGCATGTCATTGTGGTACAAACATCTTGCTAAAGATAAACCTACCCCCAGAAACCCACAGCTCAAGCTGGACAAGATGTAAGAGATGTTGAAGGACCAATGACATCTAGTACTTATACAAGGAATATATCTAAGGATTCAGCCAAATCTCGGCAGCAGAGCAGGGCAAAAAATTTGGAATCGCTCATATCCATGCTCCACAAATCTCTTCTGCAAAAGCCATGCCCAGCTTCCCGATATATGGGTAAGACATCCATTGGTCACAGCAGATACATAGCGGTTTGCAATGCCTTTATGAGCTGCCACTGATTGACCTAGGGTAATTGGCCAGATTCCTACTTATAAGCTGTTTCAAATGTTAGAAAAACACTTCCTAAGACACTTCCACAGGTGTGGAAGAAGTTGATGTTAGCATCTCATCTCACTTTTGCCATGGACTAAGAGCAGGGATGCGCCTTGTGGCTTGGCTGACCTCTGGTAACCCCATCAGTGGTGAGCTCTCAGCAGCCTTTAACATCAGATGGATCAGTCAGAAGGCTGGGTTAGCCCAGTCTTGCTGGCCTTCAGAGACCTGAATAGTACTGTTTTACACTTAAAATAGCTTGGTAAATGTAGAAAGTTCAGTCATATATTAAAGGTGTGCAGGCCTATATTCATTATCTTTTTTCAGTCACAGTTTATTATTGTAATACCTGTGAGTGAAAGATATTAGACTCTGGCAAATGAAACGTTCTTTGAGTTAGAAAAAAATTGTGTCTACTTTGTTAGGGGCTTGTCTCTCAGAAACGTGGTAAGTCAATGATGCCCTTGTAGTGATTAATAGAGAAGCCATTCAGAATTCTTGGGGTGGAGGGGGTTGGGGTTTTTTTAATTACAGAGATAACTTCCTCATCAAATCCATTGCTCAAAGACAAAACAACTGTGTTTTACTCACTTTCACTGCTGTAGTGAGATGAAAAGTTGGTGATATATTCTCCCCAGAGGTCATCATAGCTACAAACAAGGTTGTGGCTCTAATATATACACACAGACTGGTGGACAAAGCCCAGTGTTTATTGTAGTATAAGAGAAACTGAACAGAAGGGAAGGAGGAGATTAAACAAGGCATTAGGAAAGAAGAGACACCTTCCCTACATGGCATCTGATGCTGGAGGCTGGAAGGAAGAAAAAGCACAGTCATTTAATTTTATTTTTTAATGAAGGACAAACACATGGCAACTTTAAGGGCAAAACCAGTAATATCTTCTTTCTTCTTCTGATCCAAACTCAAGAAATGTCTCAAACCCCTTTTGAGCCAGTACTCATGGCCTCACAGATTATTTCCACCAAAAAAACCAAGTCAAGGGTAGAGTTGGAATTGGCAGTGACAAAAGCTCTGCTTCCTTGAGGAAGAACATACCTTCTTCAATATTATTCAGTACTCCTAGCTTTCTTCCAGTGTATTTTCTACCAGAAAGATTCCTTGTGTCTCTCTCAGTCAGCATTTTCCACCCTTCCCTTGCAGCTGTGACCACTTGTCTCTGCCTCTTCTCTGGCTCTTTCCAGTCACAAACAAGCAACACATTCTGGCTGATGTTCTGATTCTTTGTAGCAGGGCCTATATAGTCTGAGCTTTTGTGTGAAATTAATATTAAACCATTACATTACACTCTAAAAATGTTTGTACTAAAAAAGTTACAAAGTTAAGCACTCCTCCAGGCAACACACTTCAGCAATATAAAATGTTTTTCTGCATAATCCAACTTTCAGAACAGCTCTTGGTTTTATAATGTATAGCACAAGAGGATCTGATGTTGGTTGGCTGATAGATACAGCCATAATGAAACTTCTTAATGAAACTTCTTAATGAATAATACTGGCCGGGCAGTTCTGCCACTTCATTTCTCACTGAAACAATAATTCAGAATTCACTGCTCAAAAATTCGTTTTCTTTTTCATTGCAATGACAGTTTCGCATCTGCAGGAGATATAATATGAATATATAACGTTCAGACGAGAGGTTACATCTTTGCCCTCTACTATTGTCTTCAGTGCTGAAGCACAGCAATGGTTTTCTTTGAAAGCACAGCAGACAGCTTTTTAAAGTGGCCTCACTGGCAAAGAGGACAGCAGCAGATGTCCAATTCAGTACTTCTATCATGCACTCAGTGAGTCACAATTAGAGAGAGGCATGTAGTCTTTAACCTTCAACAAACATGATCAGAGTAACTGGAATATTGTCTTGTATCTGAACTTCAAAGTAACTTAACCCAGCTTAGAAAATACCTAGAAAATACTATTTTACAATTTAATCAAAAGTGATTTTTAGACTTCAGATCTCAACTTCAACAAAATATTATTCTTCACTGATAGGGTTCAATTTATGGATTGATATTCCTGCTATTACCAGTTACCCCCTTCTCTCTCCATAATTATTAATACCATAGTTTACCTCCATATAGCATAGTAAAAGCAGCATATGCTAACAAAAAATACCTGAGTTCCCTAACAAAATGACTAGGTATGATGTATTGACCATGACAGCATACACTTGTCATTTCTGGTGAGATTCATGGGACAATGCAATAGTTAATTCCAGAGAATTGCTGTGGTTGAAAAGAATAAAATAAAATACTATAGCCAGTTTTCAAAAGATGTGGAATCTCGCTCTGTTTTCAAGCCATTCTCAACTTACATTTGAAACAACAAAACCCTAAAGAGTAATGAGCAAATCAACGTACAGATATACGCCTGATAGCTTCAATGCTTGTGTTTGCTTCACAGTAGGTATTATAGCTCTTCTTTTATCCTAACCTGGTAGCTTTGGAAGGAGGTAGGGATTTTTCCAGTCGTCATTTTGAATTGCATTCTGCTATTGTCTGATAGCATCACCAGATGAAACCTTAGCCATGAAGTCAAAGTGAAGCCAGGCATGAGAAAATCTTTAGTACTGAAGGCCAACAATAAGGGCAGCATGACTTTGAATTGTTGTTTAAAGAACGGAGAGCCCAGTTTTGACATTCTGGTATCAAAGGAATTTTCTCCTTAAGTTGTCTTGCTAAAGGCAACAGGACTATTTAGTT